CCATCGCCTTCAACTTCTTCAGCAAGAAATTCTTGGTCTTGTAGCGCTCACGGGCCGTCGCGCCTTGCATGAGGCGACGGTATAGTACGAGCCATCTGTGCAACGGTAGCCAGGGTTCTAGGTCGTTGGATGCGTTGGAGATGCCGGAGATGAGGGTGCTGACTTCTTTTTGCCAGTCTGAGGGGCTGGAGTGGTACCAGCGGTATTTTACTTTGAGGAGCCGGATTGAGCGCGCGTATTCTGTGGAGAAGTGGACGAGGATGTCGGTTTCTGGTGTGGGGATGGGAATGGGGCAGCGGATTAGGTCGGCTTTGCAGATTTCGGGGGTGAAGGGGTCGACTGCGTATGTGAAGGGTTCGCCGGGAGCGGTGGTGGTGTGAGTGTCTTCTTCGGCTGCGCCGTTGTGTGTTTTATTCCATGCGTCTACTTCTTTCAGCATCTCTGCCCATTTTTCGTCGGAGGGGTTGTTCAAATCATCGAAGGGGAAATCGGGGAAATCCGATGGGAGAAGCTCGCTGAAGTCAATGTCAAAATCCTCAGACCAGTCGGCATCTTCTGCAAACTCCTCGGGCTGCGCGGTCTGCTCGTCATCCGCGAAGCCTGTCGCTGTCAAGGAGTCGCTATGGGCTGACCTGTTCGAAGCATGAACGCTTTCGGGTTGGTGTTCGTCCAGCTCAGATGAGATAGAACTGGCTTCCGAATCAGCTTCTACGCCCATGTCCGTCCACTGCTGCTCAGGGGAAGGAGTGCCTACCTCCATGCCCTCTAATTGCATAGCTGTTAGCATGTCTGCCATGATAACGTCCTCGCCGGCTTGTCGCTCCTCTAGAGAGGGAATAGATAGCTCGTGTTCCGAGGAAAGACCTGCAGGCGTAAAGTGAGGTTGCATGGAGGTGGGGGCTTCGAGAGGTCCAGCATCGATAGCTTCTTGCAACATTCCAGACGCTGCGGTTGCGACTTTATCGTTCTCTAATTTGCTCACCTCTCCAGCACCGTGATGGGTCTGGCCAGTTGCATGGCCATTGTAAGTTGACATCTTGTACTGGTGCAGTTTGTGGAATGTTCTCCGAATACGCGTGCGTTCGTGTTCACTTTGCTGTGTTGCGTAATTCTCTTCTCTTGTTCATTACACCACATCGCAGGCAAAATCCGGTGTATCTAGTTGGAGGTCTGCATAGTACAGGTAGTGTGAATGTATGGAGTCTCACAAAGCCAGAACCGCTGTTGAATGAGGAGACGCGGTGAGTGCGACATATATTCACGACGGAAGTACAATGCCATGCCCTGATGGATGTTGTAGCTTCGCCGCGGAACCTGATCAAAGCTCTAGCTGCGAGGCCTTGTGTCTCATGAACTGGATCTGTACTCGAGACCATGGCTAGATTATATACATGGATCTCCAACCACCCTGCTTTTCCTCATTGTGCCGTACCAAGCTCTCTAGAGATGGGCATTCAGGCGACGCTCTGCCGTAATCTACAGCTGATACTAGTGTGTAGGCGTGTTCCTCTTGGAAACGCAATATCAGCGGCAAATTGCAACCCCTCAAGACCCACATTTCGTCGCCCCGTCGAGAGTGACGAGAGCAAGCGCCACGAATGTCTCTCGAGCAGCTGTAAAGGTAACGAGGGTTTAGAATCATTCGCCGCGTATCTTCATCTAACCTCGCGATAAAGACGCCATCAACTTGCAAGGCCTGTGAAATTCCACGAGCCGTTGCAATAGTATGAAACGAAACATTTGCTTCGGCTTTCTCCAGAGAACTTGTGTACGGCTTAGCTGGAGCGTAAGGGTCTTGCTTACACCTCCAATCAACCACCCACGATGGCAGACTAGCGGTATGCTGTGTCTCGGAAGCCGCAGCGTGCCACAGAATATCTAAGCTATTCTCTGTCTCTATAATCTTGACAGTTGTCTCCAGTAGAACTCGATCGATAGGATGAGAATAGTCCGGCACAATGCCGTATGCTGGATTGGCCAACCCAATGTAGGCGAATATCTTGTCTCTAGGATCTGAAGTATTACGATGGCGGGAGTGCGCCAAGAGTTCCTTCAAGTCCTGGTTGTGACGCGAGTGAGTTTTGCTATCTATTGTGAAGATAGCTTCCGCCATGCGTCCTTTTAGATCACCTCCCCGGATGTCCACGAGAATTTTTTGCAAATTTTGTCGTTGCGGAAGACCAGAATGACGGTCATCCCAGATCAAGCGATGGATATTCCGGTCCAATCTAGACAAATAAGTAGAGGACATCACTCTCCACACTGGTAGAAAGGCTTTCCAGGATGCAGAGGCTCCACTATACATGAAGTATACGTTTGCGGCGACAATGAACTCCTGGAGGACCCAGGCTCTAGCAAACCAAGGTGCTTCAATGATCTCGTAGGAAGCAAGCCACCCTTCTATGAAGTCCACGTTACTCGAGCTTCTGCGAAAATGCTCCTCGATCCGGTGTCGGTGATCGATTTCAATCATCTTGGCGCGTTGCTCATCATCTGCTTCATCATAGAGACTCATAGATATCTTCTTCGAAACTGTATCGATGTCACGGGGGCGGACGTCTTTGGCTAGCTGATTAAGCCAGTACATCCCTCTCGGATCGGCCTCCTCGGTCGATAGACAAACAAGGACTTGTTCTGCACATTGGTAGATATCGCGCATGAACCGAACCTGGCGTGATCTCTCGTTGATGTCGTACTGATTTATCGAGATCTGATCGATCCACAGTAGACATTCTCTGTCACCGTATGTAGTGCTCCAGAAATGACGGACTTCCCTCAAAGCATGTGCCAAATTTGCGAACACATTGAACGGCGTGCCGTTGAGGATGATGGGCTCGGTGTTCTTTGCAGAACCAGCGCAGTATGATGGAGCCGTGTATTGTCCTTTCAGATCAAGCAAAGGTGCCCCCGGGAGTAGCGTGCATTCGATAACATCGTCTCCGGTGCCAGGCCATAGTCTGACAAGGCGTATCTCTTGCTGAGCGGCATCCAGTGCGGAGTAGAGTGTCGTCGCATGAAACGCGTCATTGTGTGGTGTACAAAAGATGTCATGGCCAGGCTGAAGCCCGTCAGACTGTAGAAGCTCTGCCGGTCCCTCCGCCATGAACCCGTAGCGTTTGACCTTTCGACTAGACTAGCGCTAAGGATGAAGAGTGGAGAAGATTGGGACGACGCGTCCGTTACGTGGGAGCCACCGTTCACCCCACATCCCCGCTTTCCTCGCTGCTTCCTCCCACGCCAACTTCCACGTGCAAACTCCCAGCGAACCACGACTGCGTGCGACACACCATTCGACTTCTAGCTCTCTTATGTGTCGCGACAGGCCTTCCGGCAGAATGCCACAGATGATGCGAGAAGGGATGATTCGCGTCGCCTCAAACCCGCGACAGGGCTCGAGTCCTTGGGCTCCCATCCCAAACACGCTCAGGTGGCACCATCGATGACGTCCTCGAACTTTTGGAATCGTTTCGGATTGAATTTGGAGGATGGAGATATCTGCGTAAAAGCTGTGCGAGATCGCTATGAAGACTATGAAGTTGTTGAGTATAGCGAACAGGGTTATTGTAGCTACACCCTTCTGGTAACGCGAGCAAAGGTCGCTTTCCAGAGAACAGAAACTCAACTCCAGACTACTGCCGAGGTAGAGTTTGAGGATGAGCCTGCTCTCATCGTCCAGCTTCGGCCGCCGCAGCACGCCCTCGACCTCAACATTGCACGCGCTGCTAGCACAGCGCACCCAGCACTAGCCCCCACCATCGAGGATCTCGCTTTAACACTACCCAGAGGCATATGCGCATACGAAATGAAAAAGGTTGACGGCACGCCGCTGAACCGATTACAGCAGCATGGACACTCACTCAATGATAGTGCAGGAGAGCGACTGGGGCGCCTCATCACAAGTTTCGCGAATTTTGTTGCGCAAAGCTGGCACTCACCACAGAAAATACACTATATCGCCCGAACGGTACGGGCAGATTCACCCATGGACGAGCGTCCATCGATGCTCGCGCAGTGCCGCGGCAAGGTCGGCTCAACGGTCATGTCTAGACTTGAGCGGCTGGCTAAGGAACTACCGGATGCATATCTACGCAAAAGAGCGCGAGAGACGATGCACGCGATAAAGAGAATGGGGGACTATCCAGTAGTACTTAATCACGGAGATCTAATCCCATCCAACATCTTGGTTGACCAGAACACCTGGGAGATCACAGGCCTGGTAGACTGGGCGGAGGCGGAATACTTACCTTTCGGGACCTGCCTGTACGGGCTCGAGCATCTTCTTGGAACCACCTCACTAGATCTTCCCACATCTGCGCCCAAATGGACCTACTTCAACGGCGCGACGCGACTTCGTGAGCTATTTTGGGCGCGCTTGATCGACGCCGTACCGGAGTTGGAAGCTCGAATGGGCGACGTGAGAGTGATGAGAGATGTGGGTGTGCTGCTTTGGCATGGCATTGCTTGGGATGATGGTGCTATCGATCGCGTCGTCAACGACGTGGATGACGTGGAAGAGCTGGTTAAACTTCGCGCGTTTCTAACCGCAGGATGAGAGCTGCCGCACGAAGCACCAACGGCGAGCGCATGAGGTATCATTGTCTTTCTTTTCCGTCTCGTCGTTCATTCCAATTATCTTCGTTTGCGATGTGCGATGCTGAGATTTCGTCCTTGCTGTTGATCGCGGTGCGTCGCGCCTTCCTTCCAAACAGCGGATGTCCCTTCCCACACATAGTGCACCTTCTACATACATGTAGGCAACATCATTAGTTTGTTTGCGACTCATCACCTCGCTCTCAGTTCTCGCCTTCACCGCTATCGTCGTCTGCTCCGCTCCGCCTCGAAGCCGAAGGGAGAGTGTCGCCAATAATCACACTCTCATCTTCACCACCCTAATCCGGCACAGCGCTGTACCATTCCGGCGACGTGAGTTGAGAACTGGTAAGGCGAATTTGAAATCAAGTGAGCGGTGAAGGTCTGACGAACCAGGACAAACATTGAACATGGTGTCCACTCGGCGAGGCACTGCAAACGCAGAGCCGGACATGACTGGCATTGGACGGCCCAGACCGCTCCGACAGACGAGCGACACCATACATATCATCGTTCCCAGCGCCAAGAAGTTCGAGAAAGCTCAGAACAATCGCAGAGTGCCAGACACTCCTCCTAGAATGGCGCTCTCCGGCAACATTAGTGAACATGATCTCAGTCTCAAATCCCCAAGCACCGGCGAGTCTCCAGAGGTACTCACTGTCATGACGCCGAAGAAACGACAAGGCTCAACTGATCCCACCGATCGAACTGTCTCCTCCGCCCTGCGGAGACTCGCACCTAAGCCTTTCGCGAACATGAGCGGCAGCAGCCACAACCCCATCATCGTCAACGAGGATCCATCACCTCCACGACGAGCAACGCGAGCCCCGAAGCGCAGACAGAAACACAAAAAGCTTTCAGAACCGCATCAGTTCATCGGCAACGGATATAGGGAACTATACAGTTACGGTGTCTCCAGACCGGCATTGGCAGCCATGCCTGCGAACGGCAGCACATTCACCGGGCACCAGAGTCACGATATCTATCGAATGATGAGCGCGAAGATCACTGCCGCGCCTGAAGTCAGCCCGAACGCAGCATGGGGTCGACACACGCTCAATGTACCTTTTGAAGTACAGTATCCACTCTCAGCGCCAGTTCTTGCGCAACACGCGCCACAACACCAACCAGCATATGCGCAGCATTATCATGTTCAAGGACCCTCCAATACATACGTCTTGCCAATGGTCCCCTCTCAGAACGAAAACTCGCTCCGTAGGCGAGCTGTGCATCACATTCAAGAGTACTCACGAACTTCACCACAGAAGAGGAAGCTCGCCGATGCTGACCTTGCTGAAACCGGCGATGATGAAGCCGGAGAACACCAGCGGAATGCTCGACCGCAATCGAGCCGTCCGACTACTCAATTGAATGCCACGCCTGTGTCCAGGGTACGCAACGTTGACCAACATAGGAATCACACGCCAACGGTACATCGAGGCCCAGATCCCAACCTCCTCGTTAGTCATCTCATTGAGCATACCTCACTTATCGCATCCTTGCTACAAGTCTATCATCAATCTGCAGACAAGAAGGGTTTGCAGAATGATATATCGATGATGGTCCAGATCCAGAATCAATATATGAGCGCTTGGATGGAGGCTGAATCACAGAGCTCGCGCAAGAGAACAAAGAACAACGGTGATGGTGCTGTCAGTCTGGCGAGCCACCAACAGCCTCTCATCAGTCCCGCGATGAAGGTTCAGAACGAAAAGGACCATACAGTGCGTCAGGCTCTTTCTGCTGATGCCGACATGTGGCAAGATGGTACAGGGCATAGTGTTGCGGACGCGTTCGCGGCCGTACCTGCATCATCACCGATAGCGAGCAGCTCTGATGGAAAGATAGTCGCTCCTGATAGTGTGCTTTCGAGTACTACAATGCAACGCCAACATGTCCAGGAACTGGTTGGCACCGAAGACACCATCGTCAAAACCCCACCACAGTCGCTTTCAGATCCTGGGGCGACGTCAACAAGACACAAGGGTATTCTCATCACACCTATTCAACGTAGAACACCACAAACACTCGACCAGATGGCAAAGGCGGCCAAGGATAACCCCAAGACTATGAACTACACGACTCGCTCATCTACTCCTTCCAAAGACGTGAGAACTCCCACAAAACTATCTCCCCGCTCCGCCAGCTCTCCAATCACACCAACTACCAAGGATGACGCTTCGTCTCAACATGGCAACGGCGAGCATTCTTCTTCCCGCAGCAAGCGCAGCGCCCCTATACGACCTGCCCTCAGCTCTGAGGTCGGCAAACTCCAAGTCTCCGGTAAAGGCGATGCTTCAAGCAGCTTCCACAGTGAGAGCTCGAGCGACTTTGGTACCCGAAGGCCGGTATTTCGCTTTGAACGACGCGTTGCGGGTGAAGGCGGGGAAGCTGAAGCGAATGATGATGCGACACCGACTGTGGATGAGTGAGTGGACTGGACAGCATGCGTGTGAGAGCTGCGCAGAGACAGGGTACACGAAGGATAGGTGGTGTTTGCTGGGGAGCTGAGAGGCATCTGAACAGAATGTACGTGTATTCCCCATGTAGTGTGGGGAGAAAAGGCCATGGTAGACGGACCAGAAGCGGGTAGTGTGTGTAACTGGCGTCGAAGGAGATGATTTCGTACTTCACGTCGAGTCCTAGGACTACTTAGGAACGGGATAACTCATGTTTCATGATCCATATTCTATCTGGGTATCAAGTTACTTTTCCCTTTTTCCGTTCGTCTCCCATGAAAAGACCATGCCATTTTCGGTCCATCCCATACAAGTAACAATACTCAAGATAAATGCCATCAACGTATGCATAACCCCACTTAATTTCCCTTATTCCCCCTCTTACCACCCCTCTTCTTCCTCTCAACATGCCCCTGCATCGTCCTCTTAACGTCCCCCAAACTGCGCTTATTCTTAAACCTCGCCTTACCCAGCGTCATGAGGAAATTCTTCTTCCTCGCCTTCTCCTTGTTCGTCGTACTCTTGCCCTCTTCCACCTTCTTGGCCTGGTGCTTCGCCGCTTTGGAAGTGTGGTTCGTTTCGCGGTCGGCCCTGGCAAGAGCGATTTTCTCTTCCTTGGTGTTCTTCTTGCCGATTTTGGCGGCGAGCTCGATGGTCTCGGCGGTGATGGCTTCGTCGGCGTGGCGGGCGGCGAGGAGCTGGGCACGCTTGGAGGAGCCGGCGAGGGTGGAGGTTATTGTGCTGGAGGCGCGGAGGGCTTGGAGTTGTTTGAGGTCGGCGGGGGTGAGGATGGTGGTTGTGAGGAGTTTGGAGAGGGACTTGGTTTCTGGTTCCACGCTCTTGGAGTTTTCCTTGTTGTCAGATGGACCGGGGGTGGCGCTGTCGAGCTTGGCTTTCTTTGCGGGGCGTTCCTTCTTGTCCTTTTCGTCTTCTGAGTCGCTGATTTGGATGTCTTCGCCGTCGCTTTCGACGTTGATCCAGCCGCCTGAGTCGTCGCTGTCGCCCTCGCTTTCCACGTCCCACTTCTTCCAGTCGTCTTCGTCGTCGAGGTCGATGTCGCCGTTGTCTGCGTCGGGATCTAGACCAGCCTCTATGAGCTTCTTTCTACGCTCCTCTTCCTTCCATTTCTCGAGCAACTCGATGCCCTCAACCTCTCCGATAGCTTCTTCACCATAGCGGCGTTCTTTGATAGTACCAGCACGGATACCCATTGTCGCGTCCTTGCCACGATCGCGTTTCTTGAGGAGGTCGGCGCCGACTTCGCGGTAGAGGGAGAGGAGACCTTTGGCGGCCATCATGGTACCCTTGTCTTTCGATTTACGGTACTAATAACTGTTAGTATAGAGTATGGCATCGGACCTCAAGGAGTAACTTACCATGACCAAGTCTTGAAGCAGAGTATCTGTCATGGCCAATGGCTGACGTGCGCAGATCTCACGAATGGAATTCAGACCTGCTGCCGCGACCTCAGAGGCTGAGGCTTCTGACACGAACTCGTTCGCGATCTTCTGCACAAGTGGCTCAAGTACGTCTGGCGGTACATATGAATGTGTCGCTTGCGCTAAGCACGCCAAGTAAGTGGTGACTGAGGCTTGCCGAGGAGTGAGGTGCTTCAAGAAGTATGAGTATAGCGGAAGGACTGTGAGCTGATGTAATCCAACGAGGCGAGTGACAAGCTGCAGTGCCAGTAGCTTTGTCTCGAGAGCAAGCTTGTTCTTGGTGTTCTGGATGTGCTTCGAGAAGACGGTTTCGGCGAAGCCTTGAGGATCGTGGAGAAGGTGTAGCGCACTGAAGTTGAGGGGGTGGGGTGCGTTCTTCTTCTTTGCCTTCTTCTTGAGACTGGCAGCTGCGGATTTGATGTCGCGCGCCTTCTTCTTGCTCTTCTTGTTGATTCCGGCCGCGTGCTTCAGCTTTCCAATGTCTACATCGTTGTCGTCATCGCTGCTCTCCTCTGCGGCGGCTTCTCGCTCCTGGTCACCACCGAGGAAGAACCTGAGGCCGCCCGAGGTGGTCTTTTCGTTGTCGCTCAGTGCTGCAAGTCGCATGACCTCGACGGCGCGCGCATCTGTCCATATCTGTCGTTTCCACAGCTCTCTGGTGATCTTCACGGCCCAGAGACCCTTCGGCGAGGAGGTGTCGGATTCTAAGAGACTTGGGACGGTTAATTGGGAAGGCCAAGCATTGGGAGGATACTGCGTACTTGTAAAGTGCCGTTTGCATAGACTTGTTGAGCTTGTGGTTCACGGTCTTCGCGTTGGAGGAACGTAGATCTGAGATAATCTTGGTGTAGAGCAGTTGTCGCAGACTCTTGCTGTTCGTCGCCACAAGGAGCGGGAACAGTGTGTTGAGGAGTTTGACCGAGTCTATGACTTCTTTGCGCTTGAGCAAGCAGTATGCGCCGACGATCTTGTCCCTCAAGTCGTACTCAAGCACCTCATGGTGGGTGAGCAGAAGCTCGAGATCCCTAGGGAATTCGGATGCGACATCGGGATAGAGGTCCGAGGTATGCGAGACGAATTCAATAAGATCCTTCAGCGCAACCAGACCACTGTCTGAGGTGCTCGGGTCGGCAAGGAACAGGTCGAGGAGGGTTCGGTACTGCTGGTACTGCTGCTCGAAGTCGTCTCTGTACGATTGGGGGTCTCGCTTCAGCTTGAATCGGAGTGCCGCATGGTCCGACTCGAGCTTCTCTAGGGCGCCAACTTTGCGCTTCATGGTGAATATACGGGTGTCGTGACTGTATCAGTTATCGAGAGCGTCGTCTGTATGCGCCTTCGAGGACTTTGCGACATGAAATTTTAGTGGGGCCCATCCCACCAATTGGCCAGGGCGGACCGACACTAGGCCGAGAAGCTCTGGCCTCTTTGCGCGTAAATCTTTCTCACGAGCCTCGACAACTTGCGCCCGCAACTCTTCAGCCGCGCTGCCTGACACCGGCGCGCACTACACTCTGCAAGCTCGAGCGTTACTTTCGATTGTCGCGACTCAATTTTGAACTTTTCCTGCACGCGCTCAAGACCCGACGCGACGAGAGTAACTGGGCCAGCGCCCACCGCCGCCCATCATGACGAGCTTCTCCTCCATGTCCCTGTACGCCTTGACGGTGAAGCAGCCCACAGCCACACAGGACGCCATCTCCGGCGACTTTCTCGGAAACGGAAAGCAGCAAATTCTCACAGCGAGCGGCTCACGGCTAGCTATCCTGGAGGTCTCGCGGCGGCAGAAGGGCTTTCAAGAGCTCTACTCGCAGGATGTCTTTGGCATCATTCGCCGCATCGCCAAGTTCAGGATCGCGGGCGGAACCAAAGGTATGTCAGTCCTACTTCCCCGCTACAAGCAGTATAGTGATTTTCAAAGCACACGACACCTCCGAGCTCCCAGCTCACTGAGCCCGCGGTGGACTGGATTGCAATTAACAAGAACCTCTGCTGACTCCGTCAGACCATATCGTCATAACCACCGATTCAGGACGGTTAGTCACGTATGAGTACATGCCAGACGAGCACACCTTCAAGACGGTCCACTTCGAGACGTTCGGCAAGTCTGGAATACGACGCGTAGTGCCGGGCGAGTATCTGGCAGCCGACCCGAAAGGGCGCGCTATCATGATCGCCTCGACGGAGAAGAACAAGCTTGTCTACATTCTCACCCGAAGTGGCCAGACGGACATCGCCATCTCCTCACCGCTAGAGGCACACAAGCCACAGACGCTAGTGTACTGCCTCATCGGGCTTGATGTCGGATACGACAACCCCATGTTCGCTACTCTCGAGGTGGACTACTCCAACTCCGAGACCGATCCTACCGGCGAAGCGTACGACGAGATCAAGAAGGAGCTGGTATACTACGAGCTGGATCTTGGTCTGAACCACATCGTTCGGAAGTGGTCAGAGCCAGTTGATCGGACTGCCAATACCCTCTTCCGCGTACCGGGAGGTCCAAACGCTCCAAGCGGTGTCCTGTGCTGTGGAGAGGACAGCATCACATACCGCCGTATCTTCAACAACAAATCAAGCGTCCACCGATTGGCCATTCCGCGTCGGGAGGGAGCTACCGAAGACCCCAACCGTAAGCGCATGATCGTTGCTGGTACCCTGTACTCTCTGAAGGGCGGCGATTTCTTCTACCTCCTACAAACAGAAGATGGCGACGTCTTCAAGCTTACAGTGGAAGCAACCAATGGCACAGTCGACAAGATCAAGATCAAGTACTTTGATACTATTCCTGTCGTCACTAGCATCTGCATTCTCAGGGCAGGTTTCGTGTATGCTGCCTGCGAATCTGGAGACCGCATCCTGTACGAGCTCGAGTCGTTGGGAGACGAGACAGAGGACCCCGTGTTCGAGAGTGACCAGTTCCCTGTCGATCCGGAGACTGCTTTCGCGCCTCCTTTCTTCAAGCCTCGAGCCCTAGTCAACCTCACCGCGGTAGAGTCGATGGCCAGTTTGAACCCGATCATGGGTATGGAGGTTGCTAACCCTGCTCTCGAAGACGCGCCACAGGTTTACACGATCAATGGTACAGGAGGCCGAAGTTCGTTCCGCACCACCAGGAATGCGCTGGAGGTTTTGGACCTCATCGAGTCGCCTTTGCCGCAAAACGCGTCAGATGTTTGGACTACAAAGCTCACCAGCGAAGACGAGACTGACACCCTCATCGTCATGTGCCTTCACAGCAGAACATTAGTTCTGAAAATCGGCGATGATGTCGAGGAAGCATCTAACACTGGCTTCCTCCCAGATACAAACACGCTCGGTGTGCAACAATTTGGTGAGGACTGTATCATCCAGATTCATCCCAAGGGTATCCGCCACATTCAGGGCATCCAGTTTCCCAACGAAGATGCGAGCGCGACACATGCTAGTTTGACCGATTGGCAACCTCCAGCCCATCGTACCATTGTAGCCTGCGCTACAAACAACCGACAGGTTGCCATTGCGCTGAGTTCAGGCCAGATCTTGTACTTTGAGTGCGACTCCGATGGTTCACTTGCCATGGCCGAGGAGGAGATTGCCCTGGACAGCACCATCAACTGCCTGGCGATGCCCGATGTCCCAGAGGGTAGCGTGCGAGCTTTCTTCTTGGCTGTTGGCTGTAGCGACCAGACCGTCCGGATATTCAATCTGAGTCCTGACATGGAGGGCAATATCCTACGAAGCATCTCTGTCCAAGCTCTTACATCACCGCCGAGCGACCTGACCATCAACCTCATGACAGACAAGTCGCCCCGTGGATACAGCCAGTTCTTGCACATTGGTCTGCGAAGCGGTGTATACATTCGATCAGTACTGGATGAGATGACTGGAGACATCGGTGACACCCGGAGGCGCTTCCTTGGCCCCGAGCCTATCAAGTTTGCGAAGGTGACTGTTGCCGGCGAACCTGCTATCCTCGCAATGACCTCAAGGCCATGGCTAGGCTACACCCATCCCCGGACCGGCGTATTGCAGCTGACACCCTTGAACTACATCCCTTTCAAGTCCGCTTGGAACTTTGATGGTTCTCAATTCAAGGGAATCATCTGTGTCAGCGCTAATGAGTTACGGTAAGCACCCCCTATTTCTTTCGCTCCAACTGCAATGATGAAAATATGTTTCCTACCGTCGAATCAAGATGAGGCTGAAACAAAATTTCCAATTGTTCCTACTGAAAGCAGTTACCAACTCATTTTTGTCAAAACTACAAAAAAAATGAACAGTTGCTAACGAAACAGAATCTTCACCTTCAACGACTTGACGGACAACACGACCTACGAGAACATACCACTCAAGTACACCCCCAGGAAGATGGTCGGATGGCACGACCAGGGTGTCTTCTACGTGATCGAGAGCGATAACAACACTATCAGCGCCGATAGACGCCAACATCTGATAGCACATGCTGGTGTAAAGAAGGAAGAGACCGACAGCACCAACGGCTCCATGAAGACTGAGGATGTCGATGGTGATACGGCAAACGGCACAACCGATGGCGACGAACTCCCAGCGATCGACTTTGGATATCCAAGGGCGCAAGGCAGCTGGGCCTCTTGCATCCAAGTTGTCGACCCTGTGAGCGAGAAGACCGTCACCCACACAGTGGAGCTCAACGGCAACCAGTCACTTGTCAGTGCTGCTTTGGTCTTCTTTGAGAGCCGCGGTGACGAAGCATTCCTAGCTGTCGGTACTGCTAAAGACTTGAGCTTCAACCCCTTCAAATACACATCTGCTTCTATACAGGTGTACAAGATTAACCCCACTGGCCGCGAGTTGGAGTTCTTCCACGAGACCGAGGTCAGCGATCCACCTCTAGCGCTACTGGCTTTCAAAGGAAAGCTTATCGCTGGTGTTGGTCGTCACCTGTGTCTTTACGACTGTGGCATGAAGTCGGTCCTCCGTAAAGCTCAGGCCCCGAACTGCGTAGCCACACGTGTTACCGATCTCAAGACCCAAGGCAGTCGACTTGTTGTTTCCGACCAGGCGCAATCCGTCACCTACGTTGTACACAAGGACCAAGTCCACCCCAACCGTCTCATTCCTTTTGTGGATGACACCATCGCCCGTCATACCTCCGCATCAGAAATGCTGGACTACGATACCACAGTCGGTGGTGACAAGTTCGGTAATATCTGGCTCGTGCGCTGCCCCCAGAAGGTTTCCGAGTCTTCAGACGAATCGCCCGACGGCTCCGACCTACTAGTAGACAAGGGCTACCTGGGCGGTACACCGAACCGTCTTGACCTCATCGCACACTACTTCACAAACGACATTCCTGTCTCGATACAAAAGACGGTTCTCCTGTCTGGTGGTGAGCGCATCATCTTCTGGGCCGGTCTCCAAGGTACTCTTGGTGCACTCATCCCCTTCAACTCCCGCCGACAACACAAGATGTTCCAGCAACTGGAGCTCCAACTTCGGTCGGACGATAAGCCTTTGTCTGGCCGGGATCATCTCGCCTTCCGCAGCTACTTCGCGCCGGTCAAGAGCGTCATTGATGGCGATCTGATCGAGCGCTTCTTAGTACTGTCACGCGACAAGCGGGAGAGCATCGCTGGGCAGATGACGGGTGCGGAATGGACCCCCAGCATGATTGATGAAGCGATCTGGAACATGCGGGGTCTCTATGCCTTCTAGTAGAAGCAAGTTTGTGCACATTACGGCGTTTGGAAATACGGGCCATGAAAAGCGGTTGGTACTTATAACCCGCGCTTCTAGCGTCTTTTTGATGAATGGGGAGCAGTAATTGTATTTGTACATAGGAACGTAGGTCACAATAGACCCAAATGATACCCGAGAGTCCTCTTCAGCTGTGTTCGGAGATGAATCTAAGTCTGGTCCGTGGTGTTGCATTACAAGTCCTGGCCACCTATTGACACACCGCCGTCTTCGTCATCAAAACCCAACGACCAACCATCCCAGCACAACAGCCACCGAAATCGCCATCAACCCTCCACTCCAACCCACATTCCTGCCCACACTCTTCACACCCTCCGACGTCTTCTCCTCCCCACCCAGTCTATACCCATTCGACCCCGCAATAACAACGTTAAAGTCCCACTCCGTATACCCCGTATTGGTTGCTCCTTCCTCCTCGACCCCTTCGCCCCAAAGCGCACATTTTATTATCGTCCGACTGGCTGCGTCTCTGCAGTTCGGGCCGAGGTGGATGGACGGTGAGCGCTCGAAGTAGAGGTTGAAGCCGTTGCAGATTTGGGGGTGGGGGGATGGTTGTGGGGAGGGTGTGGGAAGATCGGATGGCGGCGTTTGATCAGATGGAATGGAAGTGAAAGACCCTGTAAAACCCTCCTGTCTCGCTCCACCATCCCCACCATCACCCCATCCATCGCACTTCCTCGCACACTCCCGCGCATCATACGAACGCAGTTCGTAATGCCCCAGATACCCACTTCCGACGTACGAAGCGTTTGCGTCGCGGAAAGAAAGCGTGTAGCGCAATGGTGTGAGGGCAGACAGAGCGGGTTGCCGGATTTGAGGCCAGATGGAGAAGGAGTATGGGGTGTTTTCGACTGGGGGTAGGGGACCGTAGGAGGGGGGTTGGGGGGAGCAGGTGAGGTTGAGGGTGGTGGGTTGTGTGGGTAGTGGGGAGGGGAGGAGGGGTGTGGTTGTTGGGGTTGTTGGGGTTGTTGGGGTTGAGGGTGATGGAGGTTGTGTTGCGTAGGTGGATATGGATGATGAAGTGGACATGCTGGGTGTGGTTGCGAAGGATATATTCGTGAGGTTCGATTTCGGGTGTTCTGTCAGCCAGGGGGCGGATGTTGCTGCTGTTATGCTGAGGGAACTGGAAGGGATTGCGTACGCCATCTTTTTTTCTTGTGTGTGAGATGCGGTGTCTGAAGAGTAGTCAGGTTAGACTTATGTGTGCGAGAAAATGTTTTTTCGTACTCCACTGTTGCGGAAATTGTGTGGTAGCGATTTAGGATTCGCGCCACTGAGCCGGCTTGTGATACAAAGCCACCTCGCTACTTGCAGAAGTTGGATACAGCGATGAGGTTTTGTATTTGTGTTGTGTAATCGGTGTTTAATGTACGTCGTCTCTAGGATAGTTTACATAGTCACACGTCCTCACGCGGCTACCGCGAGTGCGATATCACACTCAACAGCATATTGCCTCAAGCTCCAAACGTCGCCCACTGTCCGTCTCAGCCTCAGCCTTTAATCCCTCCCATCACCGACACCCTACTATATACCGTTACATCGTCCCTAAACGCTTTCTGATCTATCCACAAATTCGTCAGCCCACTCTGTTGAACCAGCAATCCCAACTCGGGAGAACTAACCTTTCAAACACCGTTCCACAACCCCAATCCACAAATCCCTCCCTTTCACCCTCGCCTCCTCCTCTCCCCACTGCCCGATCTCCTTCAAAAAGGCTTCTTTCTCCCGCATCGTCATCCTATCTTTCATCTCACTCAGCGTCTCGGTGCTTGTCCGCGTGGTCACAATGACAGCACCTGATTTGGGTAGACGCGCATACATCTGCGTTTCAGTACGCACGAGCAGTTCAGTTGGCTGCAGATCAGCTATGTGGCCGGCGAAAAAGTCCATAGGCCGCGGGATGTGGAGGGTTGATGCTAGGGTGGCGCGCAGGGGCCGGGTTTGGATGAAGGTCTGCGTGTGGGATAGGGGGCCGGTGGAGGAGTAGGGGGAGAGTGTTGGAAGGGGGAGTTTGAGGATGGATTGGAGATCTGTGAGATGTGTGTTAGCTTGAGTTCCACAACTATTTTTCAGGGGGAGAAGGCAAAGGAATACATACCAGACCAAGGCACCATACCCGGTCCCCCCTTCCCCTCGCCACCCACCACGACATCAACCGTCTTCCCCATATACGGCGCAACAACATACCCCGACGGAAACAGCGTCGTAGCAGCTTGTAAATACCAATTCAACGTACTCTCACTCCGCCCCCAAACCATGAAATCCTCCGCACACAACCTAGCAACCACCTCCAACGGATGACATTCCAATCCGTGTTCTATTTCGAAATCCTCCCGGGTAAGCTCATTCAGCACATGCTTCCTGCGCTGCTTCGTCAGAAAACGGAATTGGTGCGGATACATCTCCACGAGGAAAGACGTGACTTCCTGCAGGAGTTCGCGACATGCGCGTTCGCCCTCGGGGGTGACGTGGATGCAGGAGGAGCGGTTGCGTAAGAGGAGGTGGGTGCGTGCGGCGTGGTATTCGATGTATTGGGGGGAGATGGTGAGCCAGTTGCTGCGGGGTGTGGGCGTGAGACCTAGATGGGAGGCAGTAAGGGTGTTGGAATGGAGGGATGTGGATTCGATGGGCCGGTTTGTAAGGGGTATGTCTGGGAAGTAGTCGCCTGTTCCGCAGTCGTCGGCGTCGAAGGCGGGCATGCGCAAGATTCGGCGTTCTTCGGCTAGGTAGGCTCGCGTTTGCGAGTTTGTGAATGAGCTTAGGTCTGAGATGTCTGAGATGTCTTGGAGGTTGACTGTTGTTGTTGCTGTAGACAGGTTTCGGGGGGAGAACGCGGTGCTGTGTGATATGGTTTCTGTCGGCGCTGATAATGAGTCGTGGGTGAAGACGGTCATGCGCCGCTTCCTTAGGGTTTCAGCGCTTATGCCGAGCTCGTTGTGTTTGCTGTGGATTGGCGCCGCATGGTGGTCGTCTTCTTGAGTTTCGTTCCTGATCACGATGAACTTCTCTGGAGCGGGGCCGAGGGCGCCTTTGTAGAACCAAAGCCGTACTGCGGCAGTGCCTATGAAGAAGAAGTAGCAGCAGATGCCGACAACGAGAACAAGAAGGACATATAGGGGTATCGGTCCGGGTTGTTGCAGGTGTAGCGGGCCTGCTGCCATGTCGAGCAGCTGTATAGATAAGAATGTAGTCGCACTGTGGACTTTGAGCGACGGGATTGTGTACAAGTCCAGATTGCCATTGCTGAGGTTGCAGGTGCGGTGACATGTTTTCGAGCCTTCAGTACTGTGGCAATGTGAATGATGTGCATCTGAATTCGAGATTGAATGCTGTAGTTTCTTCACAGTTCCGCTTGCCAGCATCAGGCATGGCGATAAATAGGCAAGAACAAACGATAACCTTTCCTTTTGATCGTTCCCAGTGTCAGTGTTTGCCGTGTAAAGTAAGGGAACCCAAAGAACAGGAAAGCATGGGAAAGTTGGAGATGAAACAAGAAATTGGGTATCGTGTTGCTTGGCTATGTAAAGTAAACAATCAGCGGGACGCCGTACTCCAGCATGTTCTCCTCCGTGTGTCGAAATTGACCCATTGGTATGACTTCACGTAAAACAAAAAAGCATCAGAAGAGAAATAGCCACACCCATCCCGAACCATACGAAGAAGCTCGCCCAAGATGAGCTCCTTCGTGATCCACAATATTCATAAACTAGACATCCAACTCTTACTCAATCTTAGGCAAAGCATCGATCTTCGCATACAGCTCCTGCGCATCCTCGAAGATATACCAGATATCCTTAGGTACACCCTTGAACGCCTTCTCGAATCGTTCCGGATCGTTCTTCCTGCCCTCGTCCATCTCCGCCACACCCGTGACTTTACGGATGTAAATAGCGCCGATCCAGTTCTTGCCAAACTTGCGGTAGGCTTCACCGTAGGATTCGGGGTCTGTTTGCGTTGAGTCACCGATGAGGATGAACTTGCGTTTGGGGAACCATCCGTGGACCTTCTCGATGCGATCAACCTTGTAGGCCTCAGTGCCCTGAGTCAAATTTGCGAGGAAGCCGGCAAGATTCATCCAGCTCGCATCGCGTAGGATCATGGTGCCGTTAGGGTAGTATTGCTCGCGGAACTTGCGAAGGAATGGGTAAAGGTTGTATGGAGATGCGGAGAGGTACCAGAAGGGCGGGTTGTCGAGCTTTTGTACAATGTGCCTGTACAGTTCTGGCATACCCTTGATGGGCTCGGGCTCTTCGGCGAAGGTGGTGGTCAGGATACCGACGGGTGACGATGTTAGAGTCTTCTTGATAGTGTCGTCCACATCGGAAAGGATGGCCCAGCCCTTGGGTTTGGCGAATGTGATGTTGAACGGCGACGCATCTGCGTTGACGGCCTTGAACTTGTTGACTTGGCCTTCCTTGTAGTCGTTCCCTGGGATAGCCAAGACATCGGAGCTGATGCCGTCGCGTCCGCTGGGACCCAGTCTGGTGTTGATGCCCAGTAGATCGATTTGGACGGCATGCGCGGGAAGGATCTGGTCCGCAAAAGGCTGGAGCCTCTGCGCGACGGTTGCCCTGGCTTGCTCGTCGTCTGCTAAGCCGATCTTCTCACTGACCCATGCGACGATCTTGGACAGATCCTTGCCACTGTTCTTGACAAAATAGGCAGCGACAAACTCGGCGTTCCACCTTCCTAGGCGATTCTGGTATGCGGTAGTATCCAGGATCCACACATAATCGGTCTCTGGGTTAACGTTGTTGTAGAACGGGTTCTTGCGACCAAAATATGACGAAAGGTTGTCCTTGAGGGAGAAGCTGAATCGGCTGGTGAGTTTCGGCATGTCTGCTTCAAATGCGGCAAAGCCGGAGTTTTCTCTGGTGATGCGGTCTTGTTCGGTTTCTTCGGTGCGCATTCGAGCACGGCCAGCCATGGCGGAAGCGGATTCGGGAGCCATTTTGTATGATGGTAGTGTTAGACAAAGGCGCGGGTGCCTGGTGGGTTGGTGAGGTCAGGAGGTAGGTGTATTGCACGGGACAAAGGGAGGCGAGGGCCATGGTCGAGGTCATATACTTTGTGCCTGGCACTTGACCAGGACTTGACGAGTGGCTGTTGCGGTGTCTCAGGAATGGGCCCAGTGTGCATGAGGGATGACGTTTAGCCAAGCTATGGCTCCGCATCCTGTAGGAATGATCGCTTGCCGAGCGCGCCGATCCTTGAACCTTGTCGGCGTATCGCCTCGAGTTAGGAGTGACAACTCAGCAGCTGAGCGAGATGATGAATCGCAAGCTATTTGTGACCTCACGAGAATTTTTTCCTTCTACGTGGACCTCTTCTTGAAATTGCGCCCTCAGGGTAAAGGTAGTGATTTGTGTTACGAGTCTCTCAGAATGGGTACTGTTATACCTGGGGTATGCTCCAAAGTACAGATTGACCCAAACGAGCTTCTTCGTCTTTCAGCTGGTGTTGCAAGTGCAGGTAGCCACACTGCAGGCGGAGAATAATGCGAGGGTCTAGCAATACGCTATCGCCAGACAAAGCAAAACACTCCGCGACAGTTTGAAGGTAGTCGCAGCCTCCAGCACTAACAGCAGAGTAGTGCAGTCGCAGCAGGCTGCAGCAAATGGGTGCTGCTCGTCGTGCCAATGCTAGCGGAGTGACGTAACGATGGTCAAGGGATCTTGGGTCAGTTCACGGGTGTGAGTCTTGATATCTGCAGGTACGCGTGACGGTCAATACTCTTGCGCTCAGATGGGGTATCGCTGACAGTGTCGGTTGATGAGAGCCATGCTTGGCTGTGCCAGACTTTGTCGAGGACGAGGTGAAATCGGGTGCTACTGAAGAGTCATACTGCGACGTGATGTTGACGTATCTTGCAGCATACAGTCGCGGTGGAACGGCTATATCGGTACTGTGCTCAAACTCGTCACCGTCATACCTCACTCGGCGACAAAGGAAATTATTGTCATCGCTGCCCTGGTTTGGTTATGTGTTCAACCGCCTTTGGCCTCCTCATGTTGGTGTCGCCCGTCGAATAGGCGCGACATGGTATCACGCGGCGGTGCCACAGCCTAGGAACCCGGTCATGTGCTACAGTGTCGACGTATTCTGCGATGGCCCCAAGGTGGATGAACGGAAAGGGTCCGATTAACGCAGACTACGGGCCAGTGGGGTCTGCAGGTAAAGGCCGATGGCAGGTCTTGGCACAGCCTACGCCATCCAGGACGCGTAGATGTGCCGAACAAGAGGAGTGGATGGGAGAACAGCACTGAGATGGGTGCAGCGTCGCCACACGTTATACGCGGCTGTTTACGTCGGCCGTCGTGCTTCGCGAGTCTGTCATGGCTTGGCGACAAGAGGCGCAGCCCTACCTAGGTAACCGTCCGTCCGCGCGAGGAAGGCGCGTTGGAGGCCTCGATCAACACCTCGATAGTACCGCATCTGCCTCCTTTACGCTTACGCCCCGGCCTCGCGACTCTGGCCTCTTTGCGCTCCTGTGCTTTCTTTTTGCGCAGCTGCCCTCAAATACCCTTGCGACCGTTTTACGTTGCGGAACGGCCCCGCTACTAAGGCAGATATGGACCTCAAGAAGCGCCTCAAGTTGGGCAGTTTGATGCGCAAACGATCCTGTGCGTCGCATCTCCTTCGTTTCCTTATTCCACCCTAACACTGACAGCGCACGCAGCCCAGGATGTCAATATCGATACAAACGCCGATACGCCCGAGGCCAATGCTACCAAGGGAGTGGTAGGTCATACCGCTTCGTCGCATCCACCAAGCTGACAGCGAGTAGATGCTCTTCTGCGAGTCTGGTGCCGCCAACTCGGTATGTTTGGTACCCCATGGCATCCACACGCCATACTAACATTCCCAGGGTGAAGAGGTCCTCCACTTGCCTACCATCGTCGAGTCCGCCGTCGCAAGCCCCAGCGCAGCCGCAGCCGCCGCAAGACAGATCCGCATCTTCCTCTCCAAAGAGAACTTCAACCGCCCTCATGTCCAGTACAATTCTGTCATGCTCATTAGGATCCTGGCCGACAACCCAGGGCCCTCCTTCACCAAGAACCTCGACAAGCAATTCGCCGACACAGTCAAGCACCTACTTCGCCATGGGCAAGACCCGAGTGTCGCACAGATCGTCAAGGAGACGCTGGATTCAATGGAGCGCGAGAAGGCATACGACACCAACCTGAACACGCTCTTCGCCATGTACAGGAAGGAGAAGGGTCTCATGGCAGCCGCGGCAAAGCAGTTTGGCCCCCGGAAGCTCAATGCACCGGGCTGGTCGGGGTCGCAGAACATACACGGCGGCTTCGGTTCAGGCGGACACAAGTCGTCGTCCAAGACGTTGCCGCCGCCAGTAGAGCTCGCGGGCCGCATTGAGGAAGCGCGTACATCGGCCAAGCTCCTCCTCCAGCTCGTACAGTCTACACCAGCAAATGAACTGCTCGGCAACGACTTGGTCAAGGAGTTCGCTGAGCGCTGCACGGCCGCCCAGCGCAGTATACATGGCTACATCGCCTGCGACAATCCGGCGCCTGACGATGACACTATGCTCACGCTCATCGAAACCAACGAGCAGCTGTCCCTCGCTGCCTCCAAGCACCAGCGCGCCATCCTCCAAGCTCGTAAATTCATGGGTGCCTCACCCTCTCCACCAGTACAGAACGGAGCCTACGCGCCACCACCCAACGGCAGCAGTAGTCCAGCTGGTGTGCCTGTGCAGTCTCCCGGGCTGCCGAATCTCCCTTCGCACAACGACGCGCCTTCGCTGGCCCCTATGGATTTCGGAACGACACAACCCAGCGCACCGGCCACCAACCACGGCAATGACAACAGCTCTCTTCCCCCGTCACTGCAAGCTGCACCAGGCCGCACACAACCGAGCGCGCAAGAAGAGAACCCATTTGCCGATCACTATACGACTACCTACACACCTCCAGCGTCGTACCAAAACTCTACGTCGACGAACAACTATGGTGGCTCACCAGACCCATATCACCCAGGCTTTCAGTCTACTCCATCATACCTGGGCCGGCAAGAGAGCTCTGCCAACAATCTGACCATGCACGGTGCGCAACCGACGATTCAAGAAGAGGATGACCACATGCGCCCGCGGGCCGAACGACCTCGGACTCCCGATCTCAACGTGCCTCAGCAACAGGCC